GACGTCTCCTGGCAACAGATCTTCAAATGCTACTCCCCAGACACGATCCACTGGGGGAAATGGGAACGTCGATGGTGGTTTTCCGAGGTGGCTTATGAGTGCCTCTAGGCCAACAGCATCTAAGAGCTACTTTTAAAATTAGTTCATTTTAAAAGTTAGTTAAGAAGGGTTACATAAAATAGTAAGATAGTACCTATCTTGCAGAAACAGACGTTTAAGGGAAAGTATAAATTATAATGAGGAAAACTGGAAGAAAATAGAATTTCTTCCACCATGAGTTAAAAAAAAAATTCTTTAAAAATTTTTGCTATTTCAAGAAGGAAGCATAAAAAAATGTTTCCTTGGTGGTATGAAAATGGTCTTTCCTATTACAGGTCAACAAAATAGAAGGAGGTTATGAGCTAGTGAGATAGTTAAGGCTTATTGTGCCAACCTGGCCAATAAGCACATGTGGGATTAATTGAAGAATGGCGAGCTAAATGGCTCGGTGAGCCTCGCCTTTCTAGTTCTCAGGTCTCTTGCTCTCTGATGGTCAGACCAGGGTGCAGCTGCCTTAGCCAGTTCCCTGCTTCAGCCGGCAAGGCTCACTTCCTGCGAGACATCCCCGAGGAGAAGCTGCATGGACCTACCCTGATGCAGCCCTGGGTGCTAGAGCAGCCGTGTGGAGACCCCTGCTAGTGCTGAGATGCTTACACGTTCACTGATTCGGCTTTCCTCTTGCAGTCGGCATCCTTGCGTGTGTTTTGTGAGATTGAGGACTTTGTGGATTGGTGTCACACATATGGGCTAATGTTGGACTTATGGGCTTGGACAGCACTGGGTTGGGATGCTTTCTTAATGTACACTTACCCTTTAGATAAAACTCTCTCTTTATACATAAGCGTTTCTGTGGAGTTGTTTCTCTAGTCTACCTACAGCTAGGCTTGAGGAGTTCCACTCTCCAATGTATGCCAACTAAGCAGCAACCAGAACAGGCTCCATGAGCCAAAGCAAAGGCAAACCATGCTTTAAACATGCGTTGCTGGCCACTCAGATACTCATCTTTAGGGTGGGCCTATTGGTGCCATGTCTCTGATGTGGGCAGTGAAATCACGGCATGAGCCAGAAGCCGGCAGTGAGCGGAGAAAGGGAGTTTCAGGCTTGTCCAGGTTGAGGGGGCTGGGAAAGAGGGGGACTATCCACAGGGCCTGTGGGAAGGTTGAAGGCAGAGCCTGAGTTTGGCTCACTGCCCTCTCCCTTGTCTCCCTTTTCGGCCAGAGCTTGGGGTCTGGAAAAGGTTTCACAAAGCCTACGCTCACAGTGTATTTGGCTTTGATGAAGAAGAGTTCATGGCTGCCCTGCATTTGGTCTGGCTGAGGCTCAGGTCCCCTCCCTGAGACCAGGAAGCTGCCAGGCCTGGCCTTTCCCTCCCTGAAGCGTAATTCTCCTGTTTTTCTTCTAAAGTGGAGGAAAAGGGTAGGAGCCATTGTGTCCCAATCACTTACTGTCCAGTCAATAGAGGGGACAGGAGTTGCCAGGTGAGGCCATGGAGGGCAGATAAAAAGGGTTGGCTTGGATGGCTGCAACCCTCACCCTCTCCCATCCTGGCTCAGCATTACCTCCGGTGGTTTTATAACCAGGTGATCCCTGAGCCCACTGCCATCCTAGGATGCATGTGGCTGGAACGGGCCACACACCCAGCTTGGGACGCAGAGGTCAAGGTTGGATTGCTCTGATCTCTAATCCCTGGGGAAGGGCAGGTGGTGCCCAGACAGTGACTCACTGCTGTTGCTACTCCCTCTGATCAGACCGCCTCTCCTACTCGCTCCCACCCACCTGCACCTCCAGGTTCCAGTCACGCGAGGAGGAGTGGCCACATTGGGCAGTTCCACTACAGGGACATGTGCACACTTGTGTTTGGCTGTGTGTATGTGTGTTAGGGAACAGAAGGGCCAGGGTGGTTGAGACAGTTTATTGTGCCAGCCTGGCTGATAAACGCAGGTGGGATTGACTGAGGGGCGGAGAGATGGATGGCTTGGTGAGCCTTGCCTTTCTTGTCTCTCGCTCTGTGATCATCGGACCAGTGTGCGGCTGCCTTGCTTGTTCTGTGCTTTAATTTAAAGGCTACAGAGCCTGTGGGACGCCTAGCCTGTGGACTGTGTTGCTGTAAGTTGAGGTCCCTTTAAGACTTCTCTGGAGCTGGGAACTGGCAATTGGTGACCTGCCTTGTGATTGGCTGCTGTGCTGACATAACCTAGCTCTCTCTACAAATAGAGGAAGATCTGGCATCAGAGAGAGACTGGAAGGACTGCTAGTCTCTCAACTTTCTCTCACGGACGTGAGTTGCACTAAGCCGTTTATAGTGCTTCTAATTTAACTGTTTATTTCTTGTGTATTTTTCTGTATATGATTGTATATTTATCTGTATATGATTTAAGATTGTATATTTATCTGTATATGATTTAACATTTCATTTCTCGTTATATATCTAATTATCTTTATGATTTAACATTTCATTTCTTGTTATATATTAATTACCTTTATAAATAAATATATTATATTATCAAGAATTTGGTTTTATCTCTCTAGAGAACCCTGTCTAACACAGTGGTCCTTCTCAAGGTGAAGGTGAAGATAGACCCACCTTACTGACTTAGGGAGGCTTCGCAGCCCTGTGTGCCTCCTTCCCCCAGGGGAATCCTCTGCTTTTTGATTAACAAGTCAGGAAAGAATGATTCTTGGCCAAACTGCAGCGTCACTGGGCACGTTCCTGTCAGACTGCGATCAGGCTGGTTAGGTGACAGTCCACTCTCATGAGGCATCAACATGGACCCTGGTAGAATTTGGCTGTCCTGCACGAACGTGGGGACTGTTGGGACTGGCAGGGCAGTGAGAGGGCCGTGTCACCCTGGTGACCACCCACGGCACCCTTGGGACCTCTTCCTACTCTACTCTGAACCAGCTGACCATTTAGTTCTTTGTTTTGCACAAGGGGAAGGCAAGTGGCCCTCAGTGTCCTTGGGGGAGTTGCTTCACTCACATAAGGACTCCTGTCCTTCACGTCAGAGATGAGGTCGGTTGTGGTCTCTGGCAGTCTCTTTGAACCCTCATCCAGTGTCCAGAGCAGACCCTTGTGCCAGATGGTTTGAAATGATCTGAAGTGATGATGCCCACACTCTCTCCTCTGGGTGACTTGTCCTTGCTGCCTGTCTCTCCCTGAGAGACACCCAGTGAGATCTCACCCCACACCCACACTTCCATTCCCACCCCCAGCCAGGCTCCAGGATTCCTCCCACACCCCCTTCCTGTTCCCTCCTCGGCAGTCCGGGTCGGCTGTAAGCATTTTGGAGTTCCACTGCTGGGGAGTCACTGGTGGTTTGAACCACTGATATTCCAGTTCGCAGTCAAAACCCTTAACCACTTTGCCACCAGGGCGCCTAACTTGAAGAGAGGCCATTTGAAATTATGCAGACTGAAACAAAGAGATGGGATAAACTAATGAAAGCTAAGCAGGGCACCTTATGAAACAGTACTGAGCTATGTAGCATGCATGAGCTTACTAATGATCCTGAAATGGTGCAGGAGCAGGCAACGTTTCATTCCACTGTACATGGGATCACCATGAGTTGTTGGATGGCTAACAACATGCATGTAATCTGAGTCCCACATGGAAGGAAGAGAGAGAGAGAGGCAGAAAAGGTATTTGAAGAGATTATGGTCAGAGTTTTATCAACTTTAATGAAAAAGATATACACAAGAAGTTGGATATGAATTCCCACAGGACATCCACGAGGCTCTGTGAACTCCCACCATAAAAACCACGCAGAACACCACAGATAACACCTTAAAAGCACCTGGTGGAAAGATGAAGGGCTGTAAAGATTGCGGGAACATAGATTTAAAGGTAATGTAATTTTCCCACAGACGTTTTGCACCCGACATAAAAGGCGAACCCCCTCTGGAAGACCAAGGATAAACACAGCAGCTCACTCTGCACCGGAAGCAATGCTGGGAGGAAGACATTCACAGGACAGAGATAAAATGTTTAAAGGAAAATTAACCAGCCTGGAATCGTCTATCTTTTAGAAATCACTCCATGGAGTGCTGTTATTAGAACCGCCCGTCTGACAGCCGCCGTGTCAATCCATCTTGAATTTTTTCATCAGAAGATGTAGAGGGAGGAAAAAGGAAGGTGAAATAAAGAGATGTCCAAATAAATAAAGTCGAAGGAATCTGTCACCAGAGTTAGTCCTACAGGACAAGACGGAAAAGGAAAGTCCTGGGGAAGATCCACTCGAGACAAGGTGAGAGTCATCAGTGTTACCCGAGCCACGCAAACCAATTCCCATTGCAGGAAGGTGTTGAAAGTACGCATCTTTATGCAACAACACAACGGATTAGTCAGTAGAATGTGGTACATTAAGGTGATGCACTGAGAGAGAAGTTAGGATAAAGAAATCTTCAAGAACAGGTCAAGAGGATGTATGTATGGATTTTGATAAGAGTTGTACAAGCCCCCAATAAAATGATTTTAAAAAGGAAAAAAAGCCAGAAAAAAAGAAGAGGTCAAGAAGTTCGTGACACAAGAGGTCAAGTTCATATCCCAGCTTCATGGGGGAGAAATGGAGCTTTTGTGTTGAACCAAAGCTATACAGATGGAGGAACACTTGGATTTACACATGAAGCAACAAAATAGAGGGCTGGTTGAGTTAAGCCCTTCTCTCTGAACACTGTTCCACGAAAAGGCTGGTGCCAAAGGGCAGAGCCAGGGAGGGACATCTGACCTCTCCCTTTCTGGGAACAGCTCAAGAAGGCCAAGGAGAGCCCAGGGTTTGTCCCACTAAGCAGGACAAACACAGCCCCCGTTTCCCGATAGCGTTCCCCCAAGTACCTGCCCTGAGCACAGTGCTTTCCTTCTCTGCCTGACAGCCACAGTGACAGTCCAGGTTTCTCTTGCACAGAGGATTAGATCCAAATCCCCACGTCCCAAGCATGCAGGGCACCTTTTTCCAGGGACTTACCTGAGAAGTAGCCCTTCACCTTCAGGTAGCCCACGATGAGCCTGAGGATGGAGAGCTTGTCCAGTTGGGCCCGCACGTCCTCGGGGAAGGGCAGTAAGTTGGTCAGTCTGCTTAGCTCCTGATTGAGGCGATCGCGGTGCCTTTTAGAAGGGTTGGACTTGACTCCATCAGGAGGCTGTGGCTTAGGACTTGGGGGAAAGAGAAAAGGGTCATTGTCACACCTTCATAAGTCACGTCATTCTGAGACTCAATAACCTCTCTGGGGGCTCCAGTGCTGGGCCAGCCACTGTGGTGCTTGCATGATGTACACAACCCAAGTCCTCGGTGCTTCCGAGAAAGAACTCTCATCCTGCAAGCCCCGCGGCTGCTCTGCCCCAAGGGCACTGAGTTAGTTAATTGTGCCAGCCTGGCCGATAATCACATGTGGGGCTAATTGAAAGGCGGAGGGATAAATGGGTGGTGAGCCTCACCTTTCTAGCTCTCTGGTCTCTTGCTTTGTGATGGTCGCACCAGGGTGCAGCTGCCTTAGCAGTTCCCTGCTTCAGCTTGCAAGATTGACTTCCTACAAGACATCCTCAAGGAGAAGCCACATGGACCTATCCCGATGCAGCCCTGGGTGCTGGAGCAGCTGTGTGGAGACCCCTGCTAGTGCTGAGATGCTTGTTCATTCACTGACTCAGCTTTCCTCCTGCAGTCGGCATCATTGCCTCTGTTTTGTGAGGTGGAGGACTTTGTGGACTGGTTTTGGGTTAGTGGGTTAATGTTGGACTTGTGGGCTTGGGCAGCATTGGGTTGGGATGTTTTCGTGAAGCACACTAAAGTACCTAGATTAATACAGGCTCTCTTGGACTGCGGGCGTGTGCCACCATTGGGTCTTAGGCAAGTGGGCCCTTTCTCATGGTGCCCGTGTTAGACTTGGCAGCCCCAAGACCGCTATTGGTAGAGGTATCATCCTCCCACTTTCCCATGCCCGGACGTATTTACACCCACGAGCAAGTTCTGAGTGAGAACTTATCCCAATAGAAATGAAAAAGTAGGAAATTTCCTTCAGGAAATTATAGTTTATTAAAAACTGAGTGAGCCCCCAATAAAATGATCTTTTAATGAAAATAAATAAATAAATAATGAAAAGCGCGTATACACATACATACTCATACACATTGACATTTATATATATTCTATTTAGATATATCTACCTCTATCTATCGATTTATCTATGTATATATTTATACTTTTTTCTTTTATTATCTCTAACTATATATTCTCTCCCACCAATATGTCATATGCAGGAGAGAATAATTCCCTTGAGCTATTTAGTTAATCTACAACCCCCTTTTTTTTCCTGTTGGCTTTTTTTTTTAATTATTTTATTGGGGGCTCATATAACTCATCACAATCCATATATCCATCCATTCTGTCAAGCACATTTGTGCATTTGTTGCCCTCATCATTCTCAAAACATTTGCTTTCTACTTCAGCCCTTGGTATCAGCTCCTCTTTTTTCCCCTCCCTCCCCAACCCCCCCTCCGCTGAGCTGCAGTTTTAGGATTTTTGCACTGTGAGAGATTCCACGGGTAGTTTCAGAGGAAAGGCTGCTGCAGGGTCCCTCCCGGCACCTGCTTGCCGAGCCCACACTCGCCCTGCAGGCTCGCGCTGACTCACAGGACAGGAGCGCGGGCCGTTTTTTTTTTCAGGGTGATCACAGGACCTTGTCCTTTACAACCGCAAGGCTAAGGCTATTTACACCATCGTACCTTCTGCCTTTAGTCAGCAGAAGCAAGTCTGAAACTCTGATGAGCCAAAGAGAAATAATTTAAAAAACCCAAACATCTAGAAGTCAAATGCTCTAT